ACGGAGGGGACCTTGCTCGCCTTCTTTGGAGTTCCTTGCCGAGCTAATCTTGCTCGCCAAGAAGGAAGTCACGGAGGGGACCTTGCTCGCCTTCTTTGGAGTTCCTTGCCGAGCTGATCTTGCTTGCCAAGAAGGAAGTCATGGAGCGGACCTTACTCGCCTTCCTTGGAGTTCCTTGCCGAGCTGATCTTGCTCGCCAAGAAAGAAGTCACGGAGTGGACCTTGCTCGCCAAGAAAGAAGTCACGGAGTGGACCTTGCTCGCCTTCTTTGGAGTTCCTTGCCGAGCTAATCTTGCTCGCCAAGAAGGAGGTCGTGGAGCGGACCTTGCTCGCCTTCCTTGGAGTTCCTTGCCGAGCTGATCTTGCTCGCCAAGAAGGAAGTCGCGGAGCGGACCTTGCTCACCTTCTTTGGAGTACCTTGCCGAGCTGATTTTGCTCGCCAAGAAGGAAGTCGCGGAGCGGACCTTGCTCGCCTTCTTTGGAGTTCCTTGCCGAACTGACCTTGCTCGCCAAGAAGGAAGTCGCGAAGTGGACCTTGCTCGCCTTCTTTGTAGTCCTTGCCGAGCTGACCTTGCTCGCCAAGAAGGAAGTCACGGAGCGGACCTTGCTCGCCTTCTTTGGAGTTCCTCGCCGAGCTGATTTTGCCCGCCAGGAAGGCAAGTTGAGGCTTCAGCCAAGCAAGCCAAGAAACCGAGCAAGAGGAATAGCACAGTTGATGTCTTGCAAACTAAGGACCGAGGAAGAGTCTATCCCGGTCAAATCATGTAATCCCAGTCATGCTTGTGTGGACGGAATTAAGGGGCAATTGAGAGGGAGATTTATGAGCTGAATTGGGCCGTGGTAAAGGCCGAGGAAATTGTGGGTCGTGGTAATGGCCGTGCAAATTGTGGGCCGAACACAATTGGGCCGTGGTTGCTTGGACCTGTCCGAAAAGGTTTTGCTTGGTTAAGGCACAGGGCATGTGGGACCGAGCTACTTGACTTGTTGGTGCGGAAGCCGATCTACTGGGAGTTCGGCTGAGATGTCTGCCTATCTGCATGGGTTCCACGGTTCATGCGTTAGCTCGGCAGGAAGACCGACGGCTAACCGACTCGACTTACCTCGAGCTCGGCTTGCCGGAATGCAGCCGAGTTCGGTTGTACAGGAGCTCGGCGAATGGTTCATTAAGGTATGTCGTGCAGCGCGATCAGGAGAAACCGAGGAGGTTCCGCCGGTCTGCCAAGCTCTGCCGAGGTATCCTAACAGTTTGGTTAGGTGGTGATTGCTGGATTTGTGCTAACAGATGGGATAGCAGCACCACGTGTCGAGAGGCTAATGGGAGTAGATTTGGGGCGCAGAAGGTATATAAGCGAGTCTGCGCCCTCCATGCCTGGGCAGATAAAATTGGGATATGTGTGTGTCTAACTTGATCGTCGGAGGGGTTTTCCGGCCACACACCGCCGGGTAGCTCACCGCCGTTGTGCTCGCAGGTCGATCGGGCAGGCAGGAGCTTGGAAGAAAGGAGTGCGGGCTTGCCTGAATATTTGCTCCCCGCACACGAACGATTCACTTTTTAAAGCTCATTAAGTATAATATTCATACAAAAAATTAAAATAATTGAATATCGATAAGTATATGTTTAAATTATATTTATTTAAAAAGAAAAATAGATAACAAATATAATTTCAAGAATAGTCATATATTTTTTGTAGTATAAATTTCATTCAAACGTATAATTGTCGATATCTGATTATCCTAATTTTTTGCATGTACTCAATTGATTATCGTAATTTTTTGCAGGTACTCACCAAGTTTTAAAAAGTAAATAATTCGAATCACTAAAATCGATTCCAAAATTGTCATACCAAATGTTTACATATATACATCTCCATCTATCTATATTATCATTAAGGCCTCGTTTGGGAACAAACTTTTTTAGTGACTTTTTGATTTTTTGACTAAAATGTTATATACAAAAAAAAATTAGTATGTTTGATATGACTTTTTGAAGGCTAAAGTAGAGAGAAAATAAAATCTTTGACTTTTTAGTATAATTGTTGACTTTTTAATTTTTTTAATAATTTTTTGACTTTTTAACTAAAATAATCACTTGCCAAACGAGGCCTAAATGAAGGCTAGAGGTAAACAAGCTTTGAACATATCTACCTATCTAGGGAAATTCTAATATACATGCACTTTTGTAAAATCTATCTAGCAAGGCACGTATTGTAATATTAAATTTTTTTATTTTTTTATTTGAATTACACTCTAGTAGATAGTTGACAATAATTGTAATGCAACTTGACTTTTTGATATAATTGTTGACTTTTTAATTTTTTTAATAATTTTTTGACTTTTTAACTAAAATAATCACTTGTCAAACGAGGCCTAAATGAAGACTAGAGGTAAACAAGCTTTGAACATATCTACCTATCTAGGGAAATTCTAATATACATGCACTTTTGTAAAATCTATCTAGCAAGGCACGTATTGTAATATTAAATTTTTTTATTTTTTTATTTGAATTACACTCTAGTAGATAGTTGACAATAATTGTAATGCAACTTTATACCTTAGGTTTAATAAATAAGACTTTTATCACTTTCTTAATATATCATATATGGTAAAAGTTTTATTTTAATTTTATTTATTTTACCCCTAATACATGATAAATTATTCAATACTATTAGGTAAGTCTAAGTGATGCTCCAAATGAAGAGTTATTTGTCTAAATCTTGAAACCCACCACTTTTATGTTAGAATTTTATGGGATAATGTGTTAAGTGTCAACTTAGGCCTATTTTAGGAAGTGGGTTATAATCCACTTCCCAGATTATAACACACTTCTTTTCTCACAAAAAAAATGTTTATAAGTAATTTTTTATCAAAAAAATTGATTATAACCACCTTATAAAATAAAGTATTACTCCAAGAGTATTAAATGATTTCTAAAGTAGTGTAAGTGATGCTCCAAATGAAGGGTTATTTGAATAATTTCTCCCAATATATGTAGGGGTGTTTAGAAATAAGATTTGGTTAAAATAGTTCATTAAAAGAAAAAATAGATTAAAATAATTAATAAAATAAAATGTCACATTTAGAAGCACTTGGGAAGCTAACACATTTTAAATCACATTACCTCTCACATTTTTTATTCACAAAAAAGACAAAAATGCAAAAAAAAGTCAAAAAGTTAGTTTTTAACCAACTTTCCAAAACACTTCTTAACTTAAAGTTTTGTTTGGCATTGACTAATATAACAAATTTTTTTGTGTTGAGACTTTTTTAGCCTCATTTGGTTTGATTTTTTTGAATTTTATAAGAGAAAAAGTGTAATGATTATAAGTTAAATGTGATATTTTATCTTATTTAATCTATTTTGTCATTTTATGCTTTTTATCCCCAAAATGATAACCAAATCAAGGCTTATAATTATTTATTTTTTTCTCTTACAATTATTAAATTAACTTTAAAAAAAATTAATTAACTTTTTAAACACAACATTTTAGCCATGTTAAAATAACCAAAAATCAAATATCCATCTCTCCCAAACAAAGCCATATATATAGCCCTTTTTAAAAAGTGCGTTAAAAGTTAATTTTTAATTTTTATTTCATTTTATATCACATCATTTTATTTCTAATATTTTTTATACATTTTTTAAAAAAATTAAAAAATTAATTTTTAATCATATTTTCAAAAAAAAAAAACCCATATACGTACAAATAGATATGCTTTAGACGGCTATTGTCGTGTCGTCTACGAGCACGACAAACAACTGTTCCTTTGAGGGAGAGAAGAGTCTTCCTCTTCCTGTTCCTGACAATATGAAGAAACCGAGAAACCGGAAACAGCCGGTTTCCTCGGTTACATACCAAAATGTTTCTCTTTAAAAAAGGCCCCTCAAAATGTTCGTCTCGCTTCACACGTCCCATCTCTCTCTCTCTCCCTCTCTCTCTCTCGGAATCGCAGAGTCGGCGATAATCCCACTTGGAATACGGAACTATCTCTGTAATGCAACTACACATACTTCGAGGCCTCTCTCTCTCCTCTCTGGAATTCATCGGACACTCTCGCTTCATCTTCTCCGGTCACCGGCAAAATCTCCGGTGATTTCAAGTATATCGAAAGTTTTGATTTTCATTCTCTCTCTCTCTCTCTTCACATTCGCAATCCACTATAATCTAATGAATGAAAGGAATGCAGTTGGTTTAAATGTAAACGCATGTCTTATTGATGGGTTTATTGTTATTATTTTGAGGGCGTTACATTATTTAATCTATTTTGTGATTTTATGCTTTTTAGCCCCAAAATGATAACCAAATCAAGGCTTATAATTATTTATTTTTTTCTCTTACAATCATTAAATTAATTTTTTTTTTAAAAAATTAATTAACTTTTTAAACACAACATTTTAGGGTTGGTTTGGGATGTTTTAAAAAAGTGTACTTTTTGACTTATTGGCTTATATGGGTTGGGTTTGGATTGAGTTTGATGTGATGTGTTAGAGAGGTGATTGATTTAAATAAGATGATGTGACTTAAATAAGATAGTGACTTTTTGACTTTTTGTATTATTTAGTGTACCCCAAACCAAGCCTTAACCATGTTAAAATAACCAAAAATCAAATATCCATCTCCCCCAAACAAAGCCATATATATAGCCCTTTTTAAGAAGTGCGTTAAAAGTTAATTTTTAATTTTTATTTCATTTTATATCACATCATTTTATTTCTAATATTTTTTATATATTTTTTAAAAAAATAAAAAATTAATTTTTAATCATATTTTCAAAAAAAAAACCCATATACGTACAAATAGATATGCTTTAGACGGCTATTGTCGTGTCGTCTACGAGCACGACAAACAACTGTTCCTTTGAAGGGAGAGAAGAGTCTTCCTCTTCCTGTTCCTGACAATATGAAGAAACCGAGAAACCGGAAACAGCCGGTTTCCTCGGTTACATACCAAAATGTTTCTCTTTAAAAAAGGCCCCTCAAAATGTTCGTCTCGCTTCACACGTCCCATCTCTCTCTCTCTCCCTCTCTCTGTCTCTCGGAATCGCAGAGTCGGCGATAATCCCACTTGGAATACGGAACTATCTCTGTAATGCAACTACACATACTTCGAGGCCTCTCTCTCTCCTCTCTGGAATTCATCGGACACTCTCGCTTCATCTTCTCCGGTCACCGGCAAAATCTCCGGTGATTTCAAGTATATCGAAAGTTTTGATTTTCATTCTCTCTCTCTCTCTCTTCACATTCGCAATCCACTAGTCTCTCTCTGTTTCTCCCTCAATTTTGGCTCGATCACTTGTTTGTTGCGTAATTTTATTGATTGATCGTCACTGATTCTCGAAATTTCTGATCCATTCGATCGTTTTCTGAGTTCAATTAGTTGAATTTTTGGCGAAACTACTTGGAAACTCAATAGTTGAAAACAACATAGAGGGATTTACATACATAGAATTGTATAGGAATTTTGAGTGGTAAACCAAAGCAGACATGTTGGATCTTAATCTGAGTATTCTCGACAATGAAGTCTTGGCGAACGTTCCAGAAAGTTCGGAGGAGGAGTCAGGGACTTCGAATTCTTCGGTGGTAAATGCCGAAGCTTCTTCTAGCAATGCCGGCGACGATGACTCTTGCTCCACACGCGGAGACATCTTCGCCTTCAATTTCGATATCTTGAAGGTCACCGCCGCCACCACAGAGTCTGAGGTGGAAGGTAATGAGAATCGGATGACTCGGTCTGAGTTTGTGACTCGCCAGCTCTTCCCTTCGATCGGAGGAGTTGGTGGGTTAACTCAGGGTCTGAGTTCGTCATCGCCCTCGTTTTTGCGGCCTAATTGGGTAGATCCATCGTTGAATCAAGCTACTAGTCATGGTGGATTAGCAGAGGTGAGAGTGGTGAAGCAGCAGGTGAAGAAGAGTAGACGGGGACCGAGGCCTCGGAGCTCACAATACAGAGGAGTCACCTTCTACAGAAGAACTGGAAGATGGGAATCGCATATATGGTCGGTATAATTTGTGTTTCCAATGATCTTCTCATTGTATTCGTGATTTGAGCCCCTTTTTTTATAGTTCTTTCTTCTTCTATGCAGGGATTGCGGGAAACAAGTATATTTGGGTATGAATATATGATAACATGACTATCTGTTGCAAATTGTTGTTTTGTTTAAAAAAAAAAAAAAATTTTGGGTCATATTGTGATGAATTTTGATGTTGGGATGTGGTAGGTGGGTTTGACACTGCACATGCTGCTGCTAGGTAATAACTGGTGTCTAGACAAAATTTATTCTCACTTTGTTTTTAAGCTGTCTTGGTTAATTCTCATTCTACTGGGGTTTTATGATATCAGAGCATATGATCGAGCTGCAATCAAGTTCCGCGGTATTGAAGCTGACATTAATTTTAATCTCAGCGATTATGAAGATGATCTGAAACAGGTTGGAAAATACACACATTCTTTTTAATCATTTCACACCAAGGATTGTTGTTTTCACTAGTGGGTTTGGTTTGTTCTTAGCTTCTTTTGAATATCTGCAGATGACGAATATGACCAAAGAAGAATTTGTGCACATACTCCGTCGCCAGAGCACTGGTTTCTCGAGGGGGAGCTCAAAATACAGAGGGGTGACTCTGCACAAATGTGGCAGATGGGAAGCTCGAATGGGACAATTCCTTGGCAAAAAGTGAGGAACTATATCTCTTTAAAATTTCGTTTTCTTGTTTATATCGTAGGAGTGACTATTGAATATAAACAGTTTAAGGATCTTTATTAATGTGAGCTGACAATTGGTTTTAGATAATTCACAATGGGATTTCTTGTGCGTGTCTGGAAAATAAATCTAGGATGTCTATCTGAAAGAAAAACATGATTGGGAACCCAATATTCATCTTGGGGGTAATGATGCTTGTGTTGCAGGTATATATATCTTGGGCTATTCGACAATGAAGTAGAAGCTGCAAGGTCTTTATGATCATGAATTACACTCTCTTCCTGATACTGAATTTATTACCCTGCATTCTCAACCTCAATTGGTAGTCATTCAACACGTATCTCCCTTTTTTATTTTCTGGAAATTAGGGCTTATGACCAAGCAGCTATCAAATGTAATGGAAAGGAAGCAGTCACCAACTTTGAGCCAAGTACGTATGATGGGGAGATGATCTCTGAGGCTTATCATGAAGGTATTGCTTTATTGTGCTTATGTTCAATCGTTTATATAGCTTTGTTTTTTTGGTTGCCTTCTATAGTACTATTAGCTCCTTTGTGAGGACGAATGAAGTTTTCATGACCTTCAATGCAGGTGGTAACCACAATCTTGATCTGAACTTGATGATTTCAGCCCCGTCTTCTGGAGATGGCCCAAAGGATAATGGAAGTTTGAGGCATTTGCAGTTTCACCCTTATGAAGTCCATGGTGCAAGGAGATCAAATGTAATACTTAAAATTGTACTTTCTATTTTCCCTTTTCTGGCCATTGTAAATTTGTGTTCTTCAGCTTTTACTTGACTATGAAAACTGCTGAATCTATTACCCTAGTTGGAGACTAATTGATGTAGAGAACCCTGTTGATGTTCAATCTGTTTGCTTTCGGTTTGCCACAAAGAATACATTTAGCTTGTTCTTGTTCTTTTAATGCCATAAAATGTTGAAACATGTTATCTGCATCTAGAATGTTGAAGCTATTAAGAATCCATTTCCTCTAATTCTGCTATTACAGATGGAGAGCCCTGCAACAACTACATTAGGGAATCCAACTCTTAAAGGGCAGGCAATGACATCAGACCACCATCCCTTGTGGACTGGTTTACATCCTAACTTCTTTCCCAATTATGAGGTAAATTTTATAACCTTTGTTTCAAAACATATGAAATCTAGCTGACTTCAATATCGTACTAGCTTAGCAGCATTTGTCTGTTTTCCCCCAAACCAGTATGCTATTTGCAATAACCAATCATTTGATTTGCCAAACTTTCCATTTGCTTGCTGCTGGATTCCTTAAAATATCATCTACCTAAAAAACAATTTAGAGACTGGATTTCATTCATTCTTGGAGCAGTAGATCAGTATTTGTTCTCTTGTGAAGTGTGGAAGTTTTGAGAACAACAAACATGAAAAACTTTGTAATTGCGTAGCTTGTGGTATCCAGTGATGAGAATAGTCATGAGAAAGGGTTTTAAATATTGTCCCTTACATATCGTATAGGCCATACATAACGAGCTTTGGCCTTCCAATACTGTTATTCACCCACACGTCGGCTGATATATGACCGTATCACCAATATCAATGCATATCCCGATACCATTATTTAAAAATTAAAACCATACAAGACCTTGGGCAGTGTCATGTGCTTGCTAATGGTCTACTAGTTTAGTAATTCAGAAAAAGAAAAATATATATTTTACAATTTCAACAATTTATTGCTATCATATAGTGGGTGTTTGGGAAGTGGATTTTTTTGTTGAGTTTTTTTAGTTGTAGGATATTATTGGAGAAAAAAAATTTTGTGTTTGGAAAGGTAGTTAGGTTTTTTTGTGGTTGGATATGATATTTGTGAGAGAAAAGTGAAATGATCATGGGGTTTGATGTGATATTTTGTTTGGATTTGTTTTTTTTTTTTTTTTTTTAATGGTCTACTAGTTTAGTAATTCAGAAAAATAAAAATATATATTTTACAATTTCAACAATTTATTGCTATCATATAGTTATCCTTACTCTGACATTCATTACAATAGCAAGAGTGCAATGCCAAATGATGGGAGCCTTCATGAAAGGAGGGGTAAAATAAAAGCAGAGAGAGAGCAATAAAAGGATGAATATCTTCTTCTTGTATTTTGGAACTAGCAAATGTTTGTCTAGGAAAGCTTCACAACTCACGAGACATCACAAAGTTATGATTTATTTTGCAGGAAAAAGCAACAAGAAGAGGAATTGAAGAGGGTTCTTCACAAGGATCACCAAACTGGGCGTGGCAAATGCATGGTGGTCAGGGTAACACTGCCCCAACAAGAGTCTCTACGGCAGCATCATCAGGATTCTCATCTGCAGCTACTACCACTGCTGCTTTCTCAGCTTCCGTTCATCCATCAAAACTCCTCAAACCAACCGCCCTCCATCTCTGTTTTCCTTCATCTGCCACGGCAAGCAGTAACTATCAATACTACTACCAAATGAGGCCGCTACAACCCCCACCGTAATCGGTCTTTTTCACTGCACCAAGGATAGATAGGTAGGCATAACCATCTCTTTTTGTTCATTTTTTGCACTTCAAATATTGATCGATATACACCAAGATCTGGCTTGTGACCTTGGCAAAACCATTACCATACCATGTAGAACTTGAGAGTTGACAAATACAACATGGCATGTTTGATTTTAAGCTTTTTTAGTCTTCTGTTATGTGCTTGGATTTATCTGAAGTGTTTTGCTTGTAAGGGAAGGAAGCTTATATTCCTCATGAATCCCATATCCTTTGATCCATCATGGCTTGCATCAAATTTTTTTTGATAGGAAGACAAAAAGATAAAAAGATATGTCATTTAGAATAATCCAGTGTCTGTTGCCCTTTTATTTGTCAAAAAACATTCGAGTATAGCATTACTAGAGAAGTAAATCATGCTTAGTGTTTATTTGTTTTCTGTTTTGGTTTATGGGAATTTTTCCATTTTTGTATTGGTTATGAGTTGGTTATAATTCATTGTTGTATTGATTATGATATATTAATTATTATTTTAGTTATGAGCAAAAGATGTTTGATTATGTTTCGAGTCGTATTTGGTTATGACTCATTGTGTTTCTTTTAATCAAAACAAAAGTGATTTAACTGTGGCATTTATGAATATTATCCCAACATATTATCATAACTTAGATATAACACAGACGCCAAAATAAGATATGTATTATAAAAATACCCTAAGTTATATTAATCAAAACAGATGTTAGACGCTTCTTCATAAACTTGAATCTCAAATGTTTCAAATGTTTTAGTACCTTTTTTTATTTTATTTAATTTTCCAATCGCTTAAAAGTTAATTTAGGGTTTGTTTGGAATGTCCTAAATAAGTGTATTTTTTGACTTTTTAGACTAAAAAGTTGAGAGAAAAAATATGGTTGTTTGGGTTAATTTTTTGATTTTTTATGAAAAAATGTGTATTAAAAAATTGTATAAATTAGTGTGTAAGGAAAAATTAAGATTGAAAGTTGTGCAGTCGTAATTTTTGACTTTTGGTGAATAGTAATAACTTTTTAACTTTTTGAGTAATTTTTTAGCTTTTTGACAATTTGCCAAACTTGGCCTTAGTATTAATTTAAATTTGTTTTATTAAAAAAATTAAGTCATTTGGGCAAACTTATTTCTTGTTAAGAGGGTGGTTGGAATGATTTATATAAATATATTTTTTAACTTTTTATGAAAAAATATAAAAAAAAAAACAAAAAAAAAAATAGAGAGGGAATGTGATTAAAAAAATGAAAAAAATAAAATAAATGAACCTTTGCAAGAGATGCCAAATAATGCCTAAAAGTCAATTTAGCCCCTCTAAGAAATTAAAATAATGTTTGAGAGCTCGAATTTGGCCTTCCCTAATCTCCAAAACGACGTCATTTTGGGGAATTTTTTTTTTTTTTTCTATTTTCGGCTCAAACGCAGAGGGGAAGAGAGAAGAGAGAGAGAGAGAGAGAGAAGCAGAGGAAGAGAGAGAGAGAGAGAGAAGACGATCGTCGCCCAACCGCTGATCGTCGCCCCGCCCAGCCGCCGATCCGCCGATCGTCGCCCAGCCCAGCCCCGCCGCAGCCTCCGACCGCCGTCGCCCCGCCTCCGCCTCCTCCTCCCCCGAATATTATGTTTTTGATTTTTTACCAAAAGATGTGCAAAAATTATAGAGAAAAGGGAATCATTGACTTTTTTATATAGGTTATAGGAAGCATTGAGATCAATAATGATTTAGAGCTCTAAATAATGATCTCTAAAACCACCACTAATGAGGTAAAAAATAAAAAAAATAATAATAATAAGGCACAACACACATTGTGGCAGTAGGTGGGATTTACTGTCACATCATTAGTAATAGCTCTAATTAGAGGTCTCAAACATTATTGTTATTAGAAAGGTTATGTCAAATCAATTGATTCAGTTTTTAGAATTTATTTTGAGAAAATTTTCTTTTTTCGTTTTTTGTATTTTTTTGTTTTCATTAAATTTTTTAATATTTTTAACAATTTTTTAAATTTTTAGACACGTCTAACATAAATACATTTAAAAAATATAATATTTATAATAAAAAAAAATTAAATTCATTAAATATCAAAAATACAAAAAAAATGAAAATGAAAATTCAGTACATTTTTTATATTTTTGTGTATTTATTAATTTTTTTAAATATTTTTTCACAAATATTTTACTAGACACATCTAAGTAAGGTGCATCTAAAAAGGTAAAAAATTGCTTAAAATTTTAAAAATATTCACTAAAAAAAAATCCCAAAAAACAAATATTCAATTTTATTCATTCACAGCACCGAAACCAAACACATTGAGAAATGGGTTGGCTTTTTGACTTTTTTGGCTATTTTAGCCTAGGCTAAAAAGCTTAGTTTGGGAAGAATTTTTTAGCCTTTTGGCCTTTTTGACTTTTTTTGTGAAAGAATAGTGTAATGATTATGGGTTGAATGTGATGTTTTGTTTGTTATGACTAAAATAATTTATTTTATCTTTTGTGGCTATTTTAGCCACAAATCCACTTGCCAAACAACACCGGGTTGAGATGAGTTAATTGTTTTTTTAAAAAAAAAAATACTGTTTCAAAAAAAAAAAAAATTAATTTTAAATAAATGGCCAAATAATTTGTCATTTTGGTCTAAAAAAATAATTTCTATATCTAAAAAGTATCAAAAACAAATATTTTTTTTTCAAATAATAGGTGGCGATTGGCAAAAAAAAAAAATTGTCAAAAAAAAAAAAAAACACATTATTCCGGTCAACAAGCTGGACGTGTAGGAGGATGTCCGAGTGGATGATTGGATAGACTTAAAAATTCAAAAATTCTTTGGTTACCAAACATGTCTTCAAATGTATTTTGGTATCATATTTTGAAAAGTATAATCAAAGGGTTAGAATATGAGGGTGAAATCATAATTCTAGAATGAAACCAAAGCCTAATATTTTCACATAGACGAATTTGGGGCGATTGCTGTGCAGAGGCATAACAGCCATTGTTGTGCAGCGAAATATGTCCATTTCGATAATCCGAACCGTTCACATTTTAGAATACATCAAATAAAACATGTCTGCAAAAAATCAAGTTAATCGAATAACGTTTACCTATTCATCCACTCACATTTGTATATACAAAAATAAATAATAATTACAATTTAAAGTATTAAAATGCATTCATCCACTCACATTTGTATTTACAAAAATAAATAATAATTACAATTTAAAGTATTAAAACAAATATAAATATGAATGGATAAATGATATCCGATTAATTTAATTTTTTACAAACATGTTCTACTTTATATATTTTAAAATGTAAACGATTTAAATTATCGAAATGAGTTTCAAAATAAGTCTATTTCACTACACAACAATGATTATGCCCTCTTTTAGAAAGTATGTTATAATTCACTTCTCAGATTATAACCCACTTCTCTCTCTCACAAAAAAACTAATTATAATCAATTTTTAATCAATTTTCAACTAAAACATTAATTATAACAATCTTCTCAAAATAACTTGCCCCGCACAACAATTACCCAAACTTTTTTTTTTTATTTTTTATTTTTCTTTCTTTGCTCACTTGAGTTCATAGGACTTTTTATCCTACCTACCTACTACACGTCGTCAAACATGGCCTCTTTTTTACGAGTCCAGATCCCCTCCTTGAGCCCCATCCTTCATTCCCTCCTTGCAGGGGTCTTCGGGTCCACTTTGAGGCCCAGTTTTGATAATCCGAACCGTTCATATTTTTAGATTTATTCAGTATATTATACCTGTAAAAAATCAAGTTGATCGGATATCAGAAAGTATGCGTTCAGAAAATTAGGACTACAAACTATTTTTTAATAAACAGTTTTCCGAACACATACTTTATGATATTCGATCAACTTGATTTTTTACAGGTATGATATACTGAATAAATCTAAAAATATGAACGGTTCGGATTATCAAAACTGAGCCTCAAAGTGGACCCGAAGACCCCTACAAAGAGGGAATGAAGGAGGGGCCTCAAGGGGAGGATCCCAATTCCTTTTTTACACTCCCATGATCTCTCTCTCTCTCATGATTTGATTGGGATGATAACATAACGTAAGGGAGGACATTTTAGATCACGCTGAGGATTTGCACCACGTGGTGGGTCCAAACTCGGTTGGATTTTTGTGACTTCTTATTCATTAGTAGTAGTACTTTGATTTATCAAAATCAAAAGTGGGCTCCACTTAAGCTTTTAACGTTTTGTTTTTGGTGGGTCGGTGGGACTCATTTATACATCTTTTAGTGCATTCCTCCCATAATTAACATTATGTAACACTGAGACTTATTTTAGTAATTTTTAATTTTTTATAAAAAAATAAAAATAATAATTTGACAATTTATAATAATATTTTAATTTCTTTGCTAAAATATCAGTATGCTCAACGAAACAAACCGGTACAAGTGATGTCCCAAATTAAATTTGACTGATTAAAATAATAAAATTTATCACTTTTGTCTCTTTTTTAAAAGCAACAGGTCAAATATTTTCGTTTGAATAATCTAAAGAAATGTTATTTTTCAACGGTGTTATATGTATTAATTGATATATCAATATATATTATGATACTATCACTTTAAAATCATAAATCTCACTCATTATACAAATTATAAAGATTTAAATTATAAAATTATGTCACATTATCGATTAGTACACTAATTTATTTATTTTTTTAATTCAAAAAAAAGATGCTTTGAGGTGTTATCAGGCATCCATAGGCCCAGACTCAGGAGTAATCGATTATTCGTCTGATTTAACCTAATCTATAGATAGGGATTTACCACTAAAGTATTAGTGAATCTCAACCATACGCCGCAGACAAGTTTAGAATTTAATGGGAGTACAAAACGAGATCTCAACAAAAAGTCACTAAAAAAATCTAACATTTTACACCTCTGAGAGTCCAACCTGAGCCACGCCTGTAAAGAAAGATATTTTTTCCCGTTAGGCCACCACCCCGTGGTGATTAGTACACTAATTGATAGGGATGTTTCGAGGTTGAAAGCTATGTGAAAACTTTATTCGTAACTTTTGTCTTTGTGAGAAGAGATATTGTAACTTTTGTCCTTTTAGAAGAGATATTGCCGGACATGTGTTGTTGGAATAATTATTCAGTAATTTTATACTATAAACATGTGGTACTTTATAATAATGTAATTTATAAAGAAGATAAGTATATAAAATATTGTGCTAGATAATTGAAAGACATGAGAAAACGTAATAAATAATAATTATTTAGGGAATACGGACATGTAACACTCCAAAAATATTCTATAATTTCTCTGTCTTATAGTCTCTATAAATTCAATTTTTTTTTTACAAATACAATGAATTAAATAAGATGTAATTAACAGATTAAATCTAATATAATTTTTAAAAATAAAATACATGATTAGCTCAACAACAAATAATTTAAATCATTAAGACAGAGAACATAAACTCAAGAAAAATCCAATCTAATAAAAAAACACCCAAGTGCTGTCTACCAACAAAGTTAGAATAATACAAGCTATTATAAAAAAATATATATATCATGAAATACTTTATAAAAAATTTCTATCATTTGGTTAATGTAATGTTTTATTATGTGTAATCTAATGGTAAAAAATTTTCAGACAATTTTTCGTGATATTTTCTTTCATGATACCTAACATTACTCACAAAGTTCCACTCATTATACAAATTACAAAGATCTAAACTCTCTAAAATTATGTCACATTATCAATTAGTACACTAATTTTTATTTTATTTTTTAACTCAAAAAAAAATACGCTAAGGTGTCATCAGGCGTCCGTAAGCTCAAACCTCGGAGTAACCAGTTACGAACCTGATTTAACTTAACCTATAGAAATGGACCCACCACCGAGACACTAGTGGAGCTCAACCATACACCACAGACGAGCCCATGATTCGATCAGTATACAGAGTAAGGTCTCAACAAAGAGCCACTAGAAAGACTTAGCATTTCACACCCCCATGAGTCGAACTTGAGTCACGCTTGTAAAGAATGATGTCTTCTCCACTAGGCCACCACCCCTAGTGGTGATTAGTACACTAAGTGATAGGGATGTTTCGAGGTTGAGAGCTATGTGAAAACTTTATCCGTAACTTGTCTTTCTTGGAAGAGATATCGCATAGGAATAATTATTCAATAATTTCAGACTATAGACACGTGATATTTCATAGTAATGTGATTAATAGAGAAGGTGAGTTAATAAGATATTGTGTTGAGTGATTGAAAGACATGAGAGAACATACTGAATAACAATTAGTTAGGATAAACGGACACGTAAGACTCCCAAAATATTCTATAATTTCCCTTGTGTTATAGTGTCTTTATAAATTCAATTTTTTTTTACAAATACAATAAATTAAATAAGATATAATTAACAGATTAAATCTAATATATTTTTTAAAAATAATATACGTGATTAGCTAAACAATAAATAATTTAAATCATTAAAACAGAGACAAAAACTCGAGAAAAATCCAGTCCTATAAAAAAAAATACCCAAGTGCTGTCTACCAACAAAGTCAGAATAATACTAAGTATCATTAAAAAAATATATATCAGAAAATACTTTATGAAAACCTTCTGTCATTTGATTAAAATACTGTTTTATTATGTGTAATCAAATAGTAAAAAAAAATTTATAAAATTTTTCATAATATTTCTTTAAATTAAATAAGATATAATTAACAGATTAAATCTAATATATTTTTTAAAAATAATATACGTGATTAGCTAAACAATAAATAATTTAAATCATTAAAACAGAGACAAAAACTCGAGAAAAATCCAGTCCTATAAAAAAAAATACCCAAGTGCTGTCTACCAACAAAGTCAGAATAATACTAAGTATCATTAAAAAAATATCAGATTTGGTTGGTAGCTCAAAATTTAAGGGCCCGAATGCCCCTAAATTTCCATATAAGGCAAAAAAAAAAAAAACAAGGCAAAAAGAAAAAGGAAAAAAAAAACAAACTTATCCAAAAAAGAAAATTAAGGCCATTAAGGCCACTGTTTTTAGGGCCACAATTCATTTTCCAAAAAATATATATCATAAAATACTTTATGAAAACCTTCTGTCATTTGATTAAAATACTGTTTTATTATGTATAATCAAATAGTAAAAAAAAATTTATAAAATTTTTCATAATATTTCTTTCATAATACCTAACATTACTCACAAAATTTTGCCTTTTTTGGGAATTTGAAATTGATTCAATTATGAAACATGATAATATAATCATTGCGTCAGTCTTTACATAATAATCTATACATTTTTTTTATAACACAAATGAGTAAATTTTATAAATATTTATTCATATATAAACTACATTACTCTGAAAAAATGAGGTAAGAAACGAAATTATGACTTCATAGCACAAATTGCATTTTGAAAACTAATATCGAAGTACTTTGAACACTCCACCGTGAAGAGTCATGCTATTACCGAGTAAGTCTGTCTTAAGAATAAATCAAAAATTAGATCGGTCACTATAATTTCCAAAAGTTTGACATGGCAAGGATAACCAGAGTAGTTTAGTTGGTTAAAACTGATCAATTTCATCATCAAGACTGTACGAAACTCACTACCTCTACTCTCTTGTATACCTCTACTCTCTTGTATCTAAACACAAAAATATTAAAAAAGATAATAAACACATATATAACATTTCAGTTCAAAATCGTTGTTAAAGCCCAAAAACCACAAACCGAACAAATACAAATGGTTCTAGCATTTTAAAAATAAAAAACAAAACTGATAAAATCAAATCAAACTGGCGGCTTAGACCAGATGGGGGGATTTGTTTACCAATTCACCTTTTTTTCAAACACCCTCCTCCTTACATGCTTAAGAAGATCGCAATCACAAGCCAAAAAAATCCACCATTGGCTTTGTAAGATTTTGCACCACAAGATCTTCTATTCTCAATTTCTTGTATTTCCCCGCCTCAATATACTAGAGCATATTTTAAGATCCAATTATACTTGTAAACTATAACTTTCGCCAAACAAGGAAAAAACAATTAATATGGAAAAAAATTGGCACACAATTTAAATAATCCACAATGGGGGAGGAAAAAAGGGTAAGACTGATCTATTCCAACTCTTCAAAAATCAACTTAAAAAAACAATTCACATTGTGACAACTGAACTGACATTCATACCCCTCTTGCTCGGTAGCCCATATAACCATTGGCCAAAAGAATGAAACAAAAAACAAAACCGATTTCCAATTTTATCTATATTCATTATTACATCTTGATTATCATTATTTTCTTTAATTGGAAGCAAAACAAAACACTCGATGTCTCAAGTATAACTTACCAGTCTGATCATATACAGCACACCCGTCAATCAACCATTTGTAGCAAACAAAGATCTCAGGCTTACATCTGCAAAACAAAAACGTTCCGTTTGTATTTAAAGATTTGAAATACATAGATTTGACATTAATCAAAGAAAATAGCTTAAATTTAGATTTGATAGTTTAACTATGGATCTCAACTTATCTTCATCTATAATTGTTCTATCCACCTATAATAACTCTCCAATATTCTTTATAAAATTCAACCTCAAATGCCTTGTTTTGATATCCACGTCCATCCAAGCAGACAGAAAAAAAATGCGCCCAAACATCTGGCGGACTTGTTAACACACTGACATTTGCATAAACAGGGGAAGAAATAGAGTACATCCCATACCTGCTGGTTTCCGGCAACCCCAGTTTCGGAGGGTTTGATCCTTCTACCACAATCCACAAAGTCAGACCAAATCAAGGGACTGTTTCATCTTTCTCGAGCAAGGCCATCAATTTCGACATGATTCTTCTGTTTCTCAGTTTACACCTCTATATGCCAAGGCAAATAAATCAATTCACTACACATCAAATCCCATACGTTCTGTTGTATATATCGCCTGAACTGGGCATCCGAAACTTCGAATCCTCATAACCATTGTAGACCTTGTTATATCCCAAAATCTCGGTTCTAAGGAGTTCTGACATACCCAGATCATTTCCACTCTGAACCTCATTCCAACCATCCCACTGACCATTTGACATTAGCGCAGGTCTAGACTGTTGACGAGAGAGCTGTGGAAATGGGGATAGATTGCTGGCTAGTGTTTGCTCCATAATCCTCGAGGGAACTCTGTAAGCATCACTATGTGTATTATAACCATCACCCATGTCAGCAAATCTGTGGTTCTGTAGTGGAGAAAGAGATCTTTGCATCAACAATTGAAGCCTAGCCTCATTTTCAAAGGCATTTAATTGTGGAGGAAAGTTTGATCTCATGTCTAAGCCGGCAGCATTATTATTAAGCCCACCCGGAAGTCTCCCCTTGCCTACTGCCAAAATCGCAGGATCCATAAATTCAATGTCCCCAGCACTACCAATATTACCTGTTAGCGGTGCCTGATATGGATTTCTCAACAAGGACGAAGCATCAAGCAAATGATTCCCTGCAAAACGGGGTAATAAAAAACAGATCTAAATTAGACAAGTTTCCTACATTAACAAATCTGGTTAGAAAAATGAAACAGTAATCATATTACAGAACTAACCAGACATGGCATCAAAAGTTGGTTCCATTCTCTCATGAGAAGGAAAGCCTGGGGGTGGTGCTCTGCTGGAAGTGGGAGCTGAAAATCCAGGAGGGGCAAAAATTTGAGCTCTTGAACCTAACAAGACATTCAAGAAGTGTCAGCAAAAACCACATACGTAACAAAAGAAGACATACACAAATTATTTACTAAATACAGATGAAAGAGAGATGATGGGTCATATTAAAATAATCAAAATAATGTTGCCCATAAATCATGTATATGAGGACTACATTGATAGAAGACAAGTCAAGGACATGTTCACAAAAAACCAAACCACATAAAAAGGACATGTTCACAGCCAAGCATTGAACAACAAATTAATGAAGCGCTTACTGGGAACCAGGCTCCCCAAAGTACTGGTGGAGGACATCAACTTAACAAGAGAGCATAACTGGTCTCCACACTCTCAATAGTATTTATTACTGAGCACCTCCACTCTACCATCACCATCTAGGAAGCATGGATACTCTGAAAAACATGTCATACCCGTACCAGATACTTACCGACGTATGGTATCTCATTTGGTACTTCTGCACACGTACCAAGTACACGAAACACGTACTCAATTTTTTTTTTTCTTAATTTTTGGCGTACCAATACTAGTACTCGTACCTATACCCGTGCTTCATAGGTCACCATTATAGACTCACATCCAGTAAAGCATTCAGCTGAAGTCCAAGATTAGATTCATATTGAAGTCTCAGACTTTTCCCCTACTTCAAGCAGATAATATATTCAAAAAGTACAGGTATCTGGACACTTTTTTCTTTTTCTTTTTTTATATATAGGTATCTGGACTTATTTTTCACCAACTCACCGCATTTAAAGGTCCCACAATTGTTAACGCCAAACTCTACTCCAACCTTACAACACACCAACACACAAGTATCAACCCTGCAATAATTAACACTTTCTACAGAGGTTGAAAGAATTGACAATCAATGGAAGCATACTGGACTGGACCCATTACTGGGATTGCCCAGGCCAGACAAAAAGCCATATGAGCCAAGAAGCCAAACCACAACCATATGAGCCAAGAGCTTCCTATGTTACTCTTCATTTTTTCTAATGACAAACTACCATCCACATCAGTTTCAGATTTGCCACAAGGACGGGGCATGTTAATCATAAAACTTGCTTTCAACTACACATGTAAGTCGTAGATTAATGAAATCTTGCAAGTAGGAATACAACTGCACTGATGAATCATCATAAATTCATCCTAATTATATATACAAGCTGCCATAACGATCAATTAGAAAATGGAAAAATAAAAACAAAAGAAAGAGGCAGCACAAGCAGGAGGAGAAGAACCAGTATAAAACATAGTTCAAATATCATCACAAAGTTTTTTTAAAAATCAGAAAATGGAAGATGCCCATCAGAGAATAATTTATGCGAACCAAGAAAACAAAATGGTGGTAACAAAAGAATAAAAAACAAAAAAACAAACAATATCAGCATGCTGGCATGCACAGGCGCACACACAACACAAACAAGGGAGGGAAAAAATAATCATCGAGACCCACCCTTTCAAAACAAGACAAATCCAGCCATTGATGCCACATAGCAAATTATAAATAAATCATGGGTAAATTGGAGTAACCTCCCCTGACAAATGAACAAATTAGAGTCCATCCCCAAAGTGACTTTTATTGCATTGCATTAATGTTACTGGGGCGGCAGCTGCATTTTACTCATTTCCTAGAGATGAGTGAAATTTATTAAATTACAAGTACATAATTCTTTGCTAAAAAGCCAAACCAACATGAATATCATTTAAAACAATCATACATACAATCACATAAATGAAGAATGAGCATGAGTTGATTAGTGGCCATCATAAGATTAGGAACAAGAAGAGAAGCATATCCAAAAAACATTATATACAAAACTATCAACCAAAACCAATCATAACTCACCTGAAAGCTTGTTAGAAGATATATAAGAGTGGCTGTTCGCAAAATTATCAGATTCCTCAATGTTAAATGTAGAGAAACCATTACTATCACCAAACTTATCAAAATTGAAATCTCTGCTTTCTGGAAAACCATGGCTTAACGGACGATCCTTCAGCACTTGCCCAATATTATGCAAAGATGGTTCAACATCAGATACTTGATTTTTAGATTCCTCCTGTCTTGCAAAAGAAAACCTGGACTGACTGCTGTTTTGCGCTTTCCAGGAATTTGATAATTTAAGAGATCTTTGCTGTCTATCAGTTTCACCCAACAATTTAGCCAAATTCTGAGGTGAAGTTAATGACTCATCCCATACATCAAAGTCCATGGACAAAATATTTGAAATTATGCTGTTCTCTCCCATATCTGTAGCAACATTTTGGTTAGCATTGGCTGCTTCACCTACAAATCTCCCAACGTGCTTCTTTTTCACTTCATTTGGAAGCAAATATGAATATTCAACTGCCCTGTCTGAATCAACAGAACTACTGACTATATCCTCAGGGAACCCATTACGTACTGCTGGAACACCAGATGGATGCAGCAGTGAGCCTTTGTCAACTTTCTTATCTAACATTTGAGGATCTAGGTTGAAACTAGTTGAACCATAAGGCTCATTCTGCTTAAGAGAATAAACCCTAGAATGATTAGAGAGAGGAAAGGAGGGAGATGCATGAGTAAAGTAGCTCTTGTTAGTAATGACTTCTGGATCCTTGAGTCTCTGATCTTCAAAATATTGCAAATCCTCTTCCACGTCAGGAAATGTGACTTGAGAATCTGTGTTTGCTACTTGAGTTTGGGAATCCGATCTCAAATCAGACTGTTCTCTTGTAACAGAATCTGATCTCCAATCTGATTGATCTCTTGTAACATAAATATCATCAGTAGATGCCACAGCTTTCCCAAGGACATGTGCCGTTGATGGTTCCCTAAATTGCTCAGTATAGCATTGTTGTAACCCTTGATTTCGAGGTGAATTAACCAAGGTATTATCAGAAAGTAAACTATTAGGCCTGTTATCCCCATAATGTTCACCCATAGGACGTTTATCAATGTTCATTGATGCCACATCAGAGCATAAATTCTGAATATTTCCATTAGCAGAAACATTCAGGTCTTTGTCTGAACCAGAAGAATAAGATTGCCCACAAAGATCAAAAGAATTTGTATTATCAGGTGCTACACTGATGCATCTATCCTTATCCTCTGATGCTAGTGGAGAATGTAACTGACCATTCACAGTTGACATATCAGGAAGTCCTGGAGTGTCAGGAGCCTCAGAAGTAGTTGTTTGATGATCTGTGCCTACATTCTGTCTAACAGGTTCAAGTGGCTCCTGTTTACCTTTATGTAGAATTGTCCGGCCTTCAAAAGGAACAAGCTTCTTTCCAACATCACCATGCAATAGAGGAACCTGAGCTGTGCCTGCAACTGCTGTTGAAAATGCCACAGAACCACTGCATGTTTCAGGCTTCTGTTTTGAAGGTCCATTTGAACATATTAAACTTGGAGATGGTGGCTGACCATTAGTAGAAGGTCGAGTTCCCCTGGTACGATAATCAAAACTTAAGGACCCACATCTTAAAATCAAAAAAGATGATCTAGTTCAGGTAATGACATACCATGAGGCTGCTGCTGGGAGAGCAACAGATCGACCAGAGCTGCTATTTGGCGGAGAACCTTTGACACTGCTTGCTGGATTCTGCCAGTCAGATGCAACCTACATAAAATCAGAATTAATGTCAATTTACTGCACCAATCACCATTCACAACACTTTTTTATTTGATCAGTCCCATTCAAAACGCTTTTGTCCAAAAACAACCACCACAAGATTGGGTAGTGGCAAAATGCATCATTCTTCAAATACATAAAATACCTTCAACAACTTGTACAAAGGAATTTTTAAAAAATCCCTAAAAGCTAACCTTTAGCTTTACATAAGGAAACACAGCTTAGCCAAAAGAAAATGCACAATCATATTTAATTTAATCCATTGTTTAAGAAAAATTATAAATTTCTCATTTAAAGAACAAAAATCAAAGAAACAAAAAAGTGAACACTGAAAGTCTTACATTTGAAGCACTTTTACTAATAGGTTTTCCTGAAGAAACAGAGCTGTTAATGCAGTACTCATCTGCTGGTGGTGGTAGAACATTCCCTGAACGCCTTTGCATATCATTTACAGCACCAGTGATTTGTTGAACTCTACTCCTTTAAAATCACTATGCGAGTTAATTAGCTATCCAAAAAAAATGTCAAAAAAGAGAAAAACAACGCATCCTTTCCTTCAGGTATACATAAGGACATCTAACCATTTCAATTGAGATAAACCACAACATAGAGAATTTAAAACCAATTGAGTGGAGACAAAAGGTTTGATCATAGATTTTGATACAATTTCAGCAATGTTCATAATATATGGCAGGAACATTAAACTGCTAGCTTTCACTTTCAAAACTTCAACATTTGGGCACTTCAAAGTTCAAACCCCACTAACATTTCCCAATGATTCAAGAAGTCTAAAACATTTTTTCCAAACAAAATAAATACATGAGGTTACAAGAATTTCCTAAGATTTCAAGTGATGGTTTAGTCAACTTTCCATTTTGAATTACATCCATCCAGCCATCCAGCCCAAAGACAACTGCATAAACCATGGTGGAGGGGGGAATACAAATAAGACAGCCCCACTTTTATGCATAAAGATATTTCATCTCAATTTGAAGCTATTTTGAAAATAAGATGTTCATAACATCTTCAACAGTATCCGGCTCCTCGAAGGAGCTCAAAAAGAGTCAACAATTATTCCAATTCCCAGAATCTGGATTATAATAAGAGTCTAACAACTATAGCAAGAGGGGGAAATGTTTTAAAAGAAATTGCCATTTTATTCATCCCAATAATATTTTCAATTTTGTAGAACATTAAGCAATCTCCTAAAAAATTGGGGTAAATGAAGTTTGAAGAACTGTTTATGCTTTCAAATTTTGGTCCCAGGTAGACCTGGACATGAATCAGATTCAGAATGGATAAAGATTCAATGATAATCCTAGTCCACACCGTGATTCACAAAATGAACTAAGAGATCTTTCATATACAACTTCAGGAAGAGCTAAATGAAAGAAAACAAGTTAATATAGAACTTTTTCCTGTGTTTATTTGAAATTCATATGAGGTTTCGATTCTTACTCAGACTAGAAATCCTTTTTTCTGGTAAGTGAAGCCCCTGGTTTTTTATCGTCAAAAGGCATGGTTCAACATAAGAAACACTAAACATCACATTTTGTCATAACATGACAGGAAAAGATTAACAAAATGCCAAATTCTAAATTAGAGAATGGATCTATTCAACAGAAATATTGTGTACATGTGTGAAAATGAGTGTTTTTATGTACATATATGCAGATGTTTTACAGTGAATAGGCATGGGAAGGAGAAGATGAGTAAGAGAAAAATGCAACACGGTGATGTGCACACGTGCGTGAGAGAGACAGAAAGAGAGAGAGAGAGAGAGAACCACCAGCCAAGAGTCTGAGAGAAACTTTACATAAAAAGAGAAGCCACCATCCAATAAATTAGGATTTGACAGCTGAAACATTTTATAACTAGCATATTCATCTTTATAATTGAACAGAATCATTAACAGATCAGATCAACTAAATTCATGTCTGATCTGTTACCAATCAGACCTATTAGATTCTGATAGTAATTGAATAATCATATTTCAACCACAAATTATTGGATTAGATTGGGCTTAGAATACAGTCCATTGATGGGCCTAGTCTCAGGTTTATATTCCTTTCCATTTTAAGACAAATTTTCCAAGGACATCTTGTATTTCTGATTTGCCTCACCGCCACCAACAATGATGATAATTATAGTTGTATCAGTGACTAATTAAGGTGCTTAAAAAGATAAAATCCACATCAGGGACGTTCTTAGTTAGCTCGCAGAAAAATAATCCCAAGTCTAACACTACAAACTCAAGTGTAATTCACAATGTTCATTCAGAATCTTATAGTATGGACTTAGGGCCATATTTTAATTAAATGAGAGGAAAAGCAGAGGGTAATCAAAATATGAAAATACCTTGTGTATGCTGATATTATTTCATCTTTAGTGAAACTATCTTCTTGTGTGCCAATCTCGTGCAAATACAGACAATCAGGATTGCTGCAAGGCTGCACCAAAAAAATTTCAATCCTCACCTAAACCAATTTCACCAAACAGTATAACCAATAGTCCAATTTCCAATCAATAATTCAGAAATCATACCACATTTCTCAGCCAGGCATGACAATACTTTGTGGTTCCAAAGCATGCCCTACAAAATGAAATCCCAACACCTACATAAGAGAATACAGAATAGAACATAAATCTTGAATGTAGCCATTTCCCACCTCAATGATCTACCATCCAAGGTAAACCCATGCACTGATTGAATACATCGAACCGCTTCCTCCTCCTTTGAGTAAGTAATATATCTGGGATAGAAATCACGTTTAAGAACAGAACAATTGTAGTGAAGTAATGGAACAAAAATATGTAAACAAGCCAGTATCAACATACAACTGGATAAAAAGCAGAAACAAACTCATCTTCAGATTAGGCAGTTTCCTTGTACATATGAACTAACAGAATAAGCAAGAGATTGAAATGAACAAGCAATGTTTGACAGAAACATTTTGAAGTATTTATAACTCAATTTCACTTCTCAAGGAAGATAAAAATAAATACATAAACAAAAACTAGCAATAATGAAAACACTTAGACTTACACACTACACGTATTGTTTGCAAAATGTTGAATAGCACCAGCGGCTGTCCGAGATATAGACACCTTCAGCACCTTTCCATACTGACCAAAATACTCTCTCCGCTGGAGAAGCTGCTAATAAAATGATAAAACTGTTAATGAACAGACCTATACCCATGTTGTGAGGGGTGGTGAGAAAGAGGGGGGGGGAGAGAGAGAGAGAGAGAGAGCAGAAAAGTACACACGTCTTCATCTGCCAGATTAAGAGGTAACCCCACAATGTAGACAAGATTTCGTTGAATCACTCGCACACTGCTAAGTTGCTTTCTTCCTTCAGATGTTTTACCTTTTGCCTTTTGTGGCTTTACTTTTCTCTCCATATTCATCTCAACCACCAACCTGCCACGTGGAAAATGATGACTATGAAGTTAATCATAAATTTAAGGATAACAATGTCATCGTGAATGAATTGGGAATATTCTAGGGAAGAGTTTGTCACTAAAAAATTATTTTTCCAGATGATAACCTTTCACAATTTGCTGCCATCCCTACAATCTTTTCCTTGTTGTAGGGAGTACGGCATGCTGGACACCGCCCTTCTGTCTCATCCTTCTCAGCCATGTCCATTACGTGATGCCAGCACCAAACACAGATCTGCAAAAATACTTCCACGGTTAACAGTTTCAATACTACAGCTAGGAACACTATACAATCAAATATCAAAATGGTAGGTCTAAGTGGCTGGCAATATGATCTTTCATAATTTCTTTTGGAAGATATCAGCTGCATTAACTTCTGTCTAGCAATATTAGGTAGGATGATTATGTAGAAGATTCCTACCCATCACTTTGGATTTAGTAGAACCCATAAATAGATATAATTGCACAAAAATGAGATTAACATTGTCAGATTTATAAATCTCAGATTCAGAATTGTGTTATTTCATTCCGGTTCTGAACTTTATAGATGGAAGGTTCTCAACAAGGTTTAAAAAAGGGTTTCTCATTTCATGCCAATAGGTATCGCAATAAGGTTATTTGATTACCTAATGGCCAATTACGCGGATGGCGAGGACTTCCCAAGTGCAATAACCATAACCAGCTCTGCAATGGCCACTTGACTACACAAGCCAAGAGAGATGCAATTCCTATGCTGATCCCAAAAAAAAAAAAAAAAAAAAAAAAAAAAAAAAAAAAAGAAGAGAGATGCAATTCCTAAAGGGTGTGTTACGCAGCACAGAAAAGAAAGGGAAGGGAAGGAAAGGAATAAAAGTAATGGAAGGAAAGGAAAAGGATTATAAATCATTTCCTTTCCTTTAACTGACAGTGACAAGGAATACAATATTTAGCACTTGAACGTTTTCCATCCCTCCCAAATCCCGCCAATTTTACACATGTTCATTTTCTGCAGACTAGAAAGCACGGATACGGATACAAGGTACGGATACAATACAATACGGATACGGCGATACAGCAAACTCTAAAAAAATATGATACGGGTACGGCGATACAGCAAAATCTTAAAAAATAGGATACGGGTACGGCGAGGATACGTTTGTAAAAAATAAAAAATAAATAAATTATTAGCAGTGAGTTACACATAAGTTCAAGAATGTTGAGAAACCACAATAACTTATAATGCAAAATACTAATCTTTAAGAATTAGGTATTAATTTAAGGCAGTAGCTAGTTTAGTTTTTAAATTTTCAATAGGTCTTGCAAATATTTCATTTCAATATCAAGTCTAATATGTTGATATTATAATATCAAAATAATCCACAACTTGACCCTATACTTTTTCCTTTTGCACTAGTCAAAAATATTCTATGCAAGTTTATTTACTTATTTATTTATTGATATTTGATTTTACTATTGTTATATTATCTTATTAATCCTTACTTCTATATAATTATAGGGGGACATGCATGATACAATGAAGATATGTCAATTTGATGAATTCTATTACTTTAACTTACTATGTTATTTTTATAAAAAAAAAAACTAATTAAAGTATTGTAAAAATATTCTATTTATCCTCGTAATTATATTATATTATGAAATTATGCAAAAAATGATACAATTCTAATTTCGCAAAAAGAGTAATATGTGACTTGGAGCACTTGATACTTTAAAATTAATTAAGAAATATCCGATCTTGGAGCATCCAACACTTCAAAACTAAGTATCCAATACTTCAAAATTAATGAAAAATAATTAAGAAGTATCCGATACTTTTAATAAGTATCTGATACGTATCCGTAAGTATCCAAAGAGTATTAGTATCCGATACGGATATGATACGGATACGTCTTCCTATTTGAAGTATCTGTGCTTCATAGTCTGTAGATATCCCTCAACAATTCCTTTTCCATGACATTTCCATTCACTCCAAACAAAGAATTAAAGGAAAAGGCACAAGGCACAAGGGAAGACAAAACATTGGGGCCTATTCAAGGCTGTAAACAATACCCATGAACAATATTTTTTTTTTTGGGGGGGGGGGGGGGGTTTTTTTTTCCTTGTTACAAAATCTTGGTATGCCTTTTTTAAAAAGGGGCACAAACCATGTACACATGGCATATATATCAAACACTATGTCCCATGGACTCTTCTATATTGTGAAGTTCCCGTGACAAACACTCAAAACCTTAGTAAGGGTATGGGATGTGTGACTATCGTGTTCAATTGAACATGCACCCAACAAGTATGCCCAAGTAGTTGAGTTTAGTATGACTACACATAAGACACTAACTTTATTCATAAAATGCTCTAATATTAGTATATAAACAACATTTTACCCCTAAAAATAAAATAAAAATTTACAAATTACGGGATCTAGTTGTGCCATGGTATCCTTGGCCATGAGAATTAGGTGTATCAAACACCTAATTCATGTGAAGTAACATAGAGCTCAGTCTTCTAAGCATAAGCCTTATGCATGTGTGCATGAGCATATGCACCTATTGTATGTGTAACTAACAATTTCTTTAAGATATGACAGCTGAATTAAGGTGCAAAATGTATGGTTTTGAGCTAGTTCTCACGAGTTCAACAAATTGGTAATAAAAAGCAATCACTCACCACCACATTTCCAATGGTGCTTCATCATGTAATATGTAACAGCTAGAATTCTTAAATTTAATGAATGGAAAGATACGAGTTAAAAGCGGACAAACCTAGACAAGAAGCATATGATAAAATCAAAGAACGGGACCAGGAGTATCAAGAATGGGAGTAAAAATATTTGATGCCAAGATATATAATAGGAACTACTGTCTTATTTCTTTTTTACAACAATTAATGTTCATAGAGAATAAAAAGATGAATGACAAATCTATCTATATCATCAGAAAATATCAATAAAGACCACATATTTTGGAAGAGGAGTGCCATATACAAACCAAACTAATTAGAGGAAGAAACCCACTGGCTAGAAGAAATGTGCTAAATTGATTTTACAAACTTGGATAAGGTTGTTGAAAAAGACTACTGTATCTAACAACACAAATTGTGGAGCAGTCAAGGAAAAAAAAAAAAAACATCCACAAAGATATCCTAACAATAATGAAATATCAAGAAGAACACACAGACGAACAAATGTTTCCATAAACATTAAGGATATTGACAAAAATAGTGAGGACACAAGCAAAACACATGGTTGTCAGAACTTAGATTAATGAGATTCATGATTCGATACAAGTTTCAACCAAAATAATTTGAATCATACTATGAAGTGAATCATGTGATTTAATTTGCACTTCATTACGATTCATTGCAATTCACTACGATTCAATTATATTTTTGTTTTGTTAGTGTGGTGTAGGAAATACCATCATTTTTACATCTCTATCAAGAAAGAAAAAAATGATCAATTAGTCATATTGATTTATGTGGTTTATATGTATTGGGAAAATTACAAATAAACAAACAAATTAACAAAGGTGAATATAAGTTTAAGTAGAAAAGAGATGATAACATTATTTTTTCATTTATACGGCTAATAAATTAGTCCCCAATGTATAAAACTATTTCGATTTGGTCCTAAATATTTAAATGGGTAAGCATAAAACTCCCCCACCCATTCTGGCCACCCCCCTCATGTACCTTACGTAACCAACGTAAGGGTGGCCGGAATGGGCAAGGGAGGGGTGGTGGAGTGTTGAGTTGGGTGGGAAACAATTTTTTTGTATTTTTAAAAATTTATATTCATGATCCACAATTTTAGTAGCATGATTGTCGCTTCAATTGGCAATTTGACAACAATGACAAAAAGTAGTTGGCCAACAATGGTTGGTTTCATACAGCATAAAAATACAACAATTAAATTAAATACATAAAGAAAACCCAGGTAAGGCAACCACATCCCGTGTGACTATATCATGAAGAATATATACCACCACAAATGATTTATTTGTGACCCTAAATCATAGGCCTTCAAATAGGAGTCAATTTGAATGATTCTTTCTTTAGAAAACCATCAAACTAGATTTAAGAACACCAGACTATTTACTTGATGATCAGCTTAATTTGACACCTGACATAAAAGGGATTCTCCACATATATGAATCACGAGACACTCAGTCATGTTACCTAAAATTAATTAGTGTTCGTGTGGTTAAGATGTATAGTTTTGCACAATTCAGTAGAACCCTGATTTTGAAATATTCCAGAGTTTCTTGTGGAAACAACTCAAAAGGAAGTTCTGACTAATTTACTTCACCTATGCCATCATTATGTGCATGATATATTGTTATTTGCAATAATTAAAAACCTGGTCAAAAGACTTGACAAAGAAAAAGTTTCGAACCTCGTAACCACATTTGCAAGGCTTCAATTGCTGATCCGTCAAATCCATCTCCTCAGCACAGAGAGGACAAGTCTTTTCTCCCTCATCGCTCATGGTTGCCTTAAAAAGAAATAAGGTCAGAATTTAATAAGATTCTAACAAAAATATTTTAATACCCCTGTCAATTTCATACAAGCGCATACACACGGTAGTAGAGACTATAACCCAGCAATTATTCTCAAAATTTATACGTAAGTTGACAAGTACAACTTTTACGTCTTGGCAACATTCTACATAGTTGACAAAATTGATAAGTTTAATCTCCCACATTCTTCGTCGGTGAAAATGTGTTCCACATTCACGGATTACAAATCCTCTAAACGATTAGAAGACAATTTTGGGGTTCTTAAGAAGAAACTCCACTGAGTAACAAAACCCTAAGAAACAACTAACTGTGAGCTGAAGCCCACTTTGTATCTAAAAATCTCAAATAAAATCCTGAAAACTAACCTTTAAATTCAGAAATTTCAAGATTTTGTTCGATAAACAGATAAACAACGATAGGCAGATCCAACTTTAAAAAAAAAAAAGACAACATAAAATCAACTCAAATAAATCAAGCTATCTACATATCAAGAACTAATCAATGGTTTTAACAATTGTCAAAAATCGAAATTCGAACTTCATCTATAATCAATTTCAATAGGTTGCATGTAACAGAAAAACTAACAATCATCTACGAATACAAATCGATTAGATAAAGCAATTTAAAAAGGACAAAATACAAAATTAGGGATCTTAATCTGATGATTGAAAGAAGGATCTAGAAAGACGATTGTATGGGGTGGGAAATTAGGGTTTGAGATTGGAGCTCGAAGACTTACAGTGGTGGTGATGAGTGGTGGATCGAGAATAGGACGAATCGGAGAGGATGAGATTGTAGAGAGAGAGAAAACCACAAGGACTTTAGAGAGAGAGAGAGCGAAATAGAGGAGGAGCTCGTCGATGGCTTTGGAAGGCCTCTTAAAGATGCTGTCTTTTCTGAGTCGCTGTCGATTAAGGCTGTGTTTGGAATTTGTGAAATAGAATGCCTGGTTCTTGCTTTTGAGGGAAAAAATTATTACTAAAAAAAATTAAAATTTATGTATTTATACAATAATGAAATAAATAAGGATAATCTATTTATACACCACAAAATCTCTCAACATATATTATTTCTATGATTTTTTTTATACCCCTTTATCAAATTAGTGTTGTGGACATAATTCTATACCCTAGACTCTTTTGGGCACCACCACCAGCTACCACTAGCCTGAAATCAAAATATATATATATATATATATACATGTAATGACAATAATAATAATAATAAATAAATAAATAATAATAAATAAATGCATAATTTAGGAAATTGGAAATTTTATCGATTAAATTGTTAAGGAAATACATTGTGAAACACCACACATTAAATATTTTAGTAAGTGGTAAGTGATATTTTATAGTTGGGTAGTGAGGTTTTTAGACGTGAACCTAACTTATAGTCATATATAATTTTAGGAGTCATCATAGATTACCAAAGAAGGTAATAACCTTTAGAATAGTAAAAGGCCAAAGTGACTCTCGATAAATTCTAAGAGATAAACTCAACAGGGTTAATAAATAAATAAGAAAAATAGATAAGATTGAATCTGCCAAGATTACACGCGTCAACACTCGGGGACTTTCCGTAACTTATACCTCCCTATAAATAGGGAGGATTGGCTCATGTTAAGGGCAACAGAAAAGAAAAAGAAAGTAGAAAGTCAAGGAAGACAGCACGGGTGAGGAATTCTTGAGTGGTAGAAAGAAAGAATAAGAAATTAATTTAAGGTAAGTTATATTATACCATGAGCTAGCATAATATGTTTTAAATATGTCTTCAGTCACCATAATATATTTTACATATGTTTTAACTCACCATAATTTATTTTATACAAGTTATATTTTACAAATCATATTAATATTTCAATTACGTGGGTTCTTTTCCAAACTCTATTTGCTCAAAATGAAATTAATGGATACGTTTGTTTAGCTTTTAATGATTATTTGACAATGATCTTGTAAGCAAGTATGTTTTGTAAGTACCACCACGAGAGTTCCACGCCTTGAGGGACTTAAATAACTATTGGCCCTTGTTTAACCACTCCGTGGTCCCCTGTTTGTCATGGATCCATTGACCCATATTCTGTTATGTTCTGTACCGTGGTTATAGTTATTTATTTCAGTTTCTGCCACTTAATTAATTTGTTATTCAACTCAGTTATGTTAATGTTTTAGCTTAAATAACTATCCATGGCTATTTTGTACCCCTATACTCACCATACAATATTTCTCACTCTACTATGTGCTTATAGCTGTTACCTCTTTCAGGTGACGAGGTTTAGCGACGTCAAGATGGGAAATGAATCGCTCTGTTGTTTTTATTTTTTTTTAAAGATTTCTTCTTTTTTTCGGACACTTATAATACAGAAAAAAAACCCAAATGACTATGTTTGTTTCCTTTTAATAAATATTTGGTACCCAATTATATTATTTTAATTTACTTAATTTATCCGTTGCGCCACAACTATAGAAAATTTCAGAATTACTTTATTGTCATCTTGTTGCGACGCCGAACCTTTGGGTACCGGTTTGGATAGTGACAGAATGCAAACCCTCTTCGTCTTCTCCTTCTATCTTCACTGCCACTTGATTCGCCACCACAACCCTCTTCTCCACCTTGAGTCTTCAACCCAACCTTTTTCCTCAGCAAACGGCACTTCAACCTAGCCTCCTCGTCATCACGAACCCCCCTCATTCTACTACTTCCATAAACCTTAGATCTTGGGTTTTCATATCTAAAAATTCATCTAACGAAGAAAAGAAGAGGACGAGGAGATAATAGGGGCCACCGATGAGTTCTATATGAGAAAAATGGCAAAGGAATGAGGACCAACGAAGTTGTAGAGGTGGCTTTGGTGAAGAGGAATGACGAAAGTGGAGAAAAGGACAAGATGAGAGGTTATGAAAAGATAAAGGGAATGGGAAAGGGTTTGGAAGTGAGGCTGGCGATGGTGAGGCAAGAGAAATGATGGATGGAGGAATGAGAAGGGGATTCGCAAGAAAAATGAAGATGAGGCGACAGCCGGCGACGAACAACAACATAGAGCAGCGAGAGCTAGGATTAAGGTTAGAGCTAGTGGGATGGTTAAAGAAGATGAGGATATTTTAAGTATATTTGAAAATTAATGGTGTGCATTAAGGAAAAATAATAAAGTTAAAAGTATGTGTGGTATACATTGAGTAAATGATGTGTACTGAGATGATATGTGGTGTATAAATGAAATTTCTCAATAAATAAATAACACACAATCTATTCTCTATTTGTTTTGACTGAAAATGTTTTCCTGCATTTTATAATGTTTGGTATAATAAAAAACGAAAAACAAAACTACTTAATATTTTTCACTTTTAAAATGTATAAAATGTTTCATAAACTAAAATCTTACAAATATCACCACATCATCACTGCCTCTATCATCTCTGTTGGAAAGAATTGTTTTTATAGGCTTGTTTTGGGCCAACTTTGAGCCCAATTTTGAGTGGGCCCCAAACGTCTTTTGGAGTAGGTCCAAAGAGGTGACGTGTTCCTTACTGCATGGCAAGTCACACAGTGAAGACGGTTTGTCAAAACCATTTATGAGTGAATGGGAACTTGACATCGCTTTCGGGTTCATGGAATGGGCATTTAAAGAATTAAATGTGGGTTTCCTTGTAAGGCTTGTCTCACATTGAAACTTTAAGAGAGCTTGTGTATGCATATAAGCTCTAGATGGCAATACTTGGCTTGGGCCCCAAGGGGCACCCCAAGTTTGTAGAAATGGAGGAGTTATAGACAAATAGAACTTTGGCTCAAACCACCACATACGCGCGTGTGCCGCCACGGGTGTGAGCGGGGTCAATTCTAATATTAATTTTTTGAACAAAAAATTATTTGAATTTTTTCAGAAATACTTAATGAAATTAAATTTTAATTTTGTGCCAAAATTGAATTTTATTTTTTTGTCCATATGTTACTCCTACGGTCAAATTTTCCAAACAATTTCCAAATCTGTTGCACCCGGACAGATTTTATTTTTTCAAACAAATTTAAATCTGCCCAAGCAGATTGAACAGATTCAAACTGAAAGTTCAACAAATTCAAATGTTCAGTTATCAGATCTATCCAGATTGATGTTGTATCTGTCCAATTTGAATTTGTACCTGTTCAATTCAAAAAACTTACTTGTTCGGGTCTATATATAGTAGGCCATTTCCAGCAGTCATTCAATCCGAAAATAGTCTAAAAAAAATCATTTTGTTACATTCATTTTACTCTCTTATATCAATTTTTCTTCATATTATTTTAGAAAAAAATTCTGAGAGTTTAGAACATAGGTTTTGTTCGCCGAACAAATTGTTTGGAGTGCTATTATAATTTATGAAGATCATTATATCCTGGGAGATAGACGCATTTTATCCGTAAGTACCGTAGCGGGCCGAATCTGTCTTAAAGACAGAATGTCACACACTCGACTTGATCTTTTTAATATTTATTTGGTTCGGTAAAATAAATTATGTAAGTAATTTATTTTTATTTTGTTTGATTTGTTTCATTTATTTATTGTACACAAAAGATTGTTCCAACAATCTCCACCACCGCCATCTCCACCGCTCTTGTCGCTATCGCCATTGCCTCACTACCTCTAATACATTAGTTTCAACGACGTAACTAAACATTCATAAAAAAATCTCTTCACCACTCTTGTCGACGTCATCATTGCCTCACTACCAATAATACATCAGTTTCAATGACGCAACTAAACATTCATACAAAAATCTCTTCAATACATTTTCTAATAAACTTTTTCATGCCAAAACAAAAGGAACATCCACGCCAACTTATCTCATGTTTTTTTCTTATACTAAAATTGCCCTTGTGTTTTTCCTCAAGTTTCCTATTTCAAATTTTAACTTTTCAGCATTTTTTTTTTAGGTTAGCTTGTGAATTGGACCAATCCAACTCGGGCTCTAGACTCATTACAAGTCAGGATTTGATAATTTCAACCATTAACTTTGTAACCTTCCATATGTAAATCATTCATACCAAAAAAAAAAAAAAAACGATTGAACCGATAAGTGTACCCACTTAATCTATTCACATTTGTTTTCAAAATTATGTACAATTTTTTTTTATGAATAATCTGTATATGAGAAGTTACAAAATTAACAATTTCAATAATTGAAGTAGAACTCGCAGTGGACCAATGAGCTTAAATTGGACTAAGTGATTCTTAATTTTTCATCTACATTAAATTCATTTTTTTCAAATAACAATCACTCTGTTTGGTTTCAGTTTTCAGAATTTACGTTTCAGAAAATTCTACTTTTTCATTTTTCGTATTTTTTTGTTTTTACTGAATTTTTTTTAATATTTTAAGTATTTTTTAAAAAAATTTAGACACATCGAACATAAATACAATTAAAAAATATAATATTTGTGAAAAAAATCTTTAAAAAATTCGCTAAATACAAAAAAAACAAAAAAAAATGTGTATTTATTAATTTTTAAAGATATTTTTTTCACAAATATTTGACGATTTAAATACATCTAAGTAAGATACATCTAAAAAAATATTAAAAAATTATTAAAAATTTAAAAATATTCACTAAAAACAAAATATGCAATTTTCAGAAAATTGAAACTAAAACACACTGAATAATTGGTATATGGTGAGTACATGTTTTGGAAAGTTCAATTTTTAGTCAAAAAAATCAAAAAGTTATTCTAAGTTGTCAAATCATTATTGTTAGGTTCCTTTATTGTCAAATCCGAATACAAAACTTTGTGTTGAACAAGTTGTAACTTTCTCTATGTTTTTGTCTTTCTCGCTCAAGCGGAACCATTGGCGCTTGAGCGGATTTTGGGGTCTCTCAGTATTTTGTCTAGTCTGTAAAAATACTGGAAGGTGTGATTTCGCG